TTTTAAAGCTGTGAATACATGCACTGGCTTAGTTACCTCAGATTTGGCAGGGAGGTTGTCCTTGAGCTCTAAATGGCCACTGTTGATTCTGACAAAGTGGTTTGCGGGGGTATTCACGCCATGACAGTGGCAGTTCTAGTTATAGTAATAAAATTTTATTAAAGAAATTTAATAGACTAAGAGGATGAAGTACATCACACAAAGCAAAACAACGGAAAACTAAATGGAATGGCTAATGTCTCTGCTGGCAGGCAGACTTTCTGGGTGCAAACAATTTCTTCAGTGAGAAAATCGTAACGTCTCGTACATTTTAAGGAATTTCATTCAAATTTTTTCAGAAATATTATGTAAAATGCCTGAATTTATTATCTTGTGCATTGGCGCACATTGTTCCTATGACGTTATCATTTTTGACAGGATTAGCACTTTGTTTCTTTACATAATTACATTATGATATAGGGGGTATTTAGATTTACCTTTGTCCGTCCGTCAAGCCGTTCTCATTTTGTTTCTAATTTTGTGTGGCAGGTAGCTCGAACAGTATTTGACCTAATCATGAAACTACAGGACTGTTGCCCAGCATATGTAGTTGCCTACCTGGGTATTTTTTGTGGATTTATTTAGTATTTGTTGAGTTGTTGCCCTTGACTTTGTAAAAACCGTTCCATTATGTTGTGTTATTTGTTCCTTGAGTGCTTGAGTTAGGATCAACAAACTTTACAGGAATAATTATCAACATCATTGTTAAGCTATGCATCTGGGGTTTTGCATGTGGATTTTTATCAGTTTTGTTAGAGTTATTGCCCTTGACTTAGTTTAAATTTGCAATTTTCAACTTGTTCATGTATAGCTCAAAAAGTATTTGACCTGTAGGCCTGAAAGTTTACAAGAATGTTGGTCAGCACGTGTACGAATGCACCTTGGGATTTGCTTGTGGATTTAGTCATTTATTTGTAAAGTTCTTGCCCTTAATAAAAGAATTTTAGTTTTCAACTTTTGGCTTATGTAGCCCAAAATATTTGACATAGAGTCTTAAGATTGACAAAACAGTGGAGTGTGGGGGCACAGTGTACTCATTTCGAGTTTATATAACTTAATTATTGGCAGAAAACCTGCCTTTTTGACGATTTCTTGATAAAGTGCTTTTCTTGATCGAGTGTGTCGGCAATAGTTACATATAACAAAATATGGCTATCGGTAGTACGAGGTTTCATTACGCTTGAATGAAAAACATTTCGAATATGTGCATTGAAAATGTGTATTTATTGCTAGCTGTGGTTTAACAAGACTGCATTGTGAATTCTTTGAATAAGAAAAAATTAATCTGGGACTTCACATTGACTGCATTGACATGTCATCTGCCGTTCGAAGATGGTACACTTTGCCTCTGGAAATAAAGGTGCAATGAAAAACGGTTGGAATGGATGTTCGTTTTGGTTGACGTTATAAAATCCCATGATTATAGGCTTCGTCTTTTCATCCAATAAGCAACTTCTCAGCTAGGGACACAAGGAAAATTGTTCCATCGAAATAAGTTCAGGTATAAAATACGTACATTTATGTATGTAAACGGCATCGGAAAATAATTTGCATTATTGGATAGGATACTTTTGAATTTCTTACAGTATTTTACTGCAAATCTGTCATAAAATATTAATATAACGTATTAACTTTTAGTCGCTGATGATGAAACACAAAACAAAGGATGTCCGTGTTCCAGTCGTGTGAAAATGTGTTGTTTTATTTTTCCTTTTATCTGGATAGAGGTCTAACTTGTCTACTTAACCAGCGTTTATCACTTTTCACCCTTCTTAATTCCTCAAGGTGATTAAATAAGAACAACACTGTTATTCAAGAAAACTTTAAAGATTTTACATATCTTAATATACAATGAAATCATAGTTAATCAAAAACTATAACCATCTTTGTAATACATCACTGCAATATCCGAAGTACGACTTTAATATAAAGCGTGCAGGTGAGAGATAATTTTGCTTTTTTTGACACATTCTAAAGTACACATTTACGGTTAGTATATTCCATAATTAGACTAGATTAAATCATAATATACATGTATGTCACACTTTTCAATACTTTAAACGGTAAAAAAACCACGAAATTTCTATATAATTTAGCTTGAATCTTCAGTCGTGCCATTTTAAACTTCCATACAAATAAACCATGCATTTTTATCAAAGTTTTGAAGCTCAATTCTTGTATGGCATTTTTTTTATCTCTTTCTCCTATTTTCACATTCTATAATGTTAACAATAAAAACAATGAAATTTGGAGTGTCATTTTGATCTTTTGTAGGTTCTTGTACAAACTACATCTTGCGCTGTGAGTTTCTGAAAAGAAAAGAAGAAAAGTGATATATCAGTTTGCCTTTTTAACGTTCCAATGACAACCCACGTGCAAGTTGCGGAAAATTCTATAAATAACATCCTGACAGGTTTTGGTTAATATCGCTTTTAATCCCTTCAAGATCCTGTTACACATTTTTTATGGTTTTTAATCATAAATATGATGCTCTGATAAAGATTTATCAATATTGTAGGTTCCAAAAAGCATTATTTATAAAGATATTACAGAATTTAACATTTCATGTAAATAAAGGGAGGTAATAAAAATTATTTTCTATAAAATTTAAGTCAATTTTTACAACAAGAAACGAATGAAAATATTTTAATGATTACATATAAATGCACAAATATTAGCAGTACATATTGTACATATTCTTCGATGTTTGAAAATTGTTTTATTTGCATAATTATGTACATATATATAATTTCACTTTGTATGGTAAACCACTTTGATCACAACATACAGGATCTTTAACGGGTTTTCTTATAAACCTCTACACATTAAAGACGTTTTCCGGAGTTTTCATATAGACAAGTTTAAAGAAATTCTATTGAACAGTTTTAATTTTGCCTATATGTCTATATGAAAACTCCCGAAAACGTCCTTAACCAGAATGCAATGCCATAAATGCACCTCCATGGTTTTATTTAAACATTCTTACCCAAATACGTAGATGAATGTAAAGTCTAAGTTGCTAAAAATCCGAATGAATGGAATTGATAACTTAAATTTATACTAGTGGGCGTTTAATATGCCAACTATGTTTCAAAGAAAGTAGTGGCTGCTGAAAAGTGTGAATAAAACTATCAAACAAACGGAATACCCCATTAGCAATAAACGTCTTAACTTAATTTTGTTAAGATCTACAGGTCATATTCAACTTCCTAACCAACTCTTAGATCTGTAGGCTATGTAGATTTTTAGTTATTTAACAGCAGAAATCAACCGTGACCTTTGACCTCCTGACTTCAAATCCAATAGGAGTCATCTAGTAAACCAAAGTCCTAACTAAATTCGAATAATCTAAGAACTTCACACCAAAGCGAAAGGTTCACACCAAAGGTTCTCTAGTTATTGGCTGTACAAGAAACTACGACCTTGACTTTTGCAAACTGACCTTAAAATCAATAGGAGTCATAGATCTACTAGCCTTGGTTAACTTCCACACCATATATTAGGACTGTAGGCTAAACCGTTCTTTAGTTAGTGGCCGGATAATTAAGGTGTGGACTACGGAATATCCTATTTTACCAAATGATGAGAGGATTATTAAAATTGAGAACAAACAACATTATTATAAGACAAACATGGTGATATTAATCTCAAGGAGACCGGTATATACCGGGTATTTCCAACTCAAATCGTGCATGATTAAAACCAACTTAAGAGTAGCTATCTCTCGATTTTTCTTTTGAATACTATTATAGTTTCACGATTTTTTTTTTACAAATGGAGATGTACAAAGTCCCTACCATAACCATTGTATCCCCGGACCATTCACGACATATTGTGGAGTCCACATCACCTTTCTGTGTAGCCATCAGTTTCTGTCCATCCATTGACATGACGGTCTGTTTATAGAATAAAGTTGTATCTATATACACGATTATAGGAGATAAAAAAACTTAAAAAATAGTATTATATCACGAGATAAAACAATAGAATACGATCAAATATTTGAGTAACTGATATTTCTTTACGACATGTATTCTTTTGTTAGAGTTGATAAGCAATTATAGATATATTTTGAAACCCCTGTGAGGGAACCCATCGTACCTGCACTTTCCGACCGTCTGCTGTCGTTTCTTCAAACACATCTCCAATGACAAAGTCTATTTCAGTTGTTTTCAGTGTCGAAATCGTCTTTATTTTCCACCTACCATTTTCAACTGTGATTTCCTGGGTAGGTTTGATAGTTGCCGCCATTTTCCTCATCACGAGACCAACACCTGCTCGACAGAAATACTAAATTTGAGCCGCGTCACGACAAAACCAACATTGTGCGTTTGCGACCAGCATGGATCCAGACCAGCCTGCGCATCCGCTGTTCGCTTTACAAATAGGGAATATGATAGCCCTGATCAGACTACGCGTATGCTGGTCTGGATCCATGCTGGTCGCAAACCCATTATGTTGGTTTTGTCGAGACGCAGCTCTAATAATATTAATTAGGGTTTTTAGGGTTTTCATGACGAAGAACGGGCTGGAGAAAGATATGGAATGAGATGACACCGCTAGTGGAGGTGTGGCCGTCTCACGAGCAAGTGCACGGACGTTATGACTCATGGCTTTTTCGTTCGGCGGCCTAGAAAAATAAACGTGGACTTTTGAATCACATGCCTCCGTTTCAGTTTTAAAATATGTAAAATATTTTCTGCCAAACTACTTGCAAAGACTTTGGAACATTGTAAGTTTGAAATATATGAAAACTATTGAAAATAATGAAAAGTAAAGGAACCCCACTTTTTAAATCTTGGAGAAGTAGAAGTTTACTTTACGAGCAAAGAAACTTAAAATTGTTGAATTTAAAAAGTAAAGTAAAGGAATTAGAGTTTTGGTGAATGAAGGTGTTTACAGTGATTTTGTTTTGTTTTGTACATTCCATTTAAGTGATAGCTCAAGAACAAACGCAACTTTTCGGCCATTTTCGTCACTCTCCGGTAAAGGACTGTGGCAATCTGATTAAAATCAGCACATAATTAATGCGATCATAGGTCCCTCACCACTGTAGGTTCGATCCTCACTCGGGTCTAAATCTTTCATGTGAGGAAGCCATCCAGCTGGCTTACGGAAGGTCGGTGGTTCTACCCAGGTGCCCGCTCGTGCCTGAAGTAATGCCCGGAGGGGCACCTGGGGTCTTCCTCCACCAATAAAGCTGGGAAAAAAATCGACGAAAAATTTCGGCGGGACGCTCTAGAATGACCCGACTTGAGTGTACGGTCGCCCATATGGGCTTTCCGGCGGCGACCTTAAATAAACGCATAAAAAAAAAAAAAAAAAAAAAAAAGAAGAAGAACTTTAGTCAGATTGAGGACTATGGATAACAAGGCGTTTAAATGTAGTTCTTTTTTACTTTGAGACAAATTTGCTCATAGGTCCTAATCTTTCACCATAAATATTAAGCAAATAGAAACATTTGTTCACCACAATAGTTTATCAGCAAGACAAATTACACTCAGTGTAATTTAGATATCTTAATCTCGACGCATATATCAAAATGAGCTAATCAATTCGTAGATATATATTCATTTGAATTGAAATGAGCCGCGTCACGACAAAACCAACATAATGGGTTTGCGACAAGCATGGATCCAGACCAGTCTGCGCATCCGCACAGTCTGATCAGGATCCATGCTGTTCGCTATCAGTTTCTCTACTTGTTATAGGGTTTGTAAGCGAACAGCATGGGTCCTGATCAGACTGCGCGGATGCGCAGGCTGGTTTGGATCCATGCTGGTCGCAAACCCATTATGTTGGTTTTGTCGTGACGCGGCTCAAATGATTTTCATTTTATCAAGGTTTTTTACTATGATGAAAACTAGGTCTAAAACATATACCGTATATTTATAGCCTTGCGTTACGCCATAAATTGAATTTATATGTTTACATACTTTAACCGAACATTTAGTACACTGCCAATACTTAAACCCACGACATAAATTACTTAAGTCTTTTCAAAACTGTATATCACTAGTTGATTTATTGAGCAGAACACTTCTATCTAAAATGCAAGAACAGTAGAACAGTATCTGGAATGCAAAAACGACACCTTGAATGCAAAAAGGGTACCTAAAATAAGAAGAAACGACACCTTGAATGCAAAAAACGGCACATGAAATGCAAAAAAACGCCCTTTGAATGCAAAAACGGCACATTGAATGCAAAGTGGCATCTAAAAGGCAAAAAAAAATAAAAAAAATAATAATAATAATAATAAAACGGCACCAGAATTGCAAGAACATATTTTATATGCTTTCTCTTTAACAGCCGAAATTTTAAATTAGATAATTTCAGCCTTCAAATAGAAGTCCAAATTTTAGATATTTGTTTTTTTTGTTGTTTTTTTTCAGATTGTAGCGTTTTCTAAAATTCAGCAATTAACAATGCAATAACTAGTCACTAGCTGGAAATAGTTTAAAAACTGCCAAACATCAGTCAGATAAAAGCTAGGCGAAAACACAAAAATATGCAGAAGACAGCCAGACAACAGACAAACAATATTCAGACAAAAGTCCGACAATATTCGCAATATTCAGACAATAGTTCAATAGTCAAACAATAATTATACAATACATGTAGTTAATATTCAGACAATATTCCAACAATTTTCTGAAGATATTCCAAAAGTATTTAAAATACTTAGACAATAGTCCATCAATATTCAGACAATAGTCCAACACTTTTTATACAATTGTTCTACAATATTTAGACAATAGTCCAACACTATTTAGACAATAGTCCAACACTTTTTATACAATTGTTCTACAATATTTAGACAATAGTCCAACAATATTCAGACAGTAGTCCAACACTTTTTATCCAATTGTTCTGCAATATTTAGACAATAGTCCAACAATATTCAGACAGTAGTCCAACACTTTTTATACAATTGTTCTACAATATTTAGACAATATTCCAACAATATTCAGACAACAGTCCAACACTTTTTATACAATTGTTCTACAATATTTAGACAATAGTCCAACAATATTCAGACAACAGTCCAACACTTTTTATACAATTGTTCTACAATATTTAGACAATAGTCCAACACTATTTAGACAATAGTCCAACACTTTTTATACAATTGTTCTACAATATTTAGACAATAGTCCATCAATATTCAGACAACAGTCGAACACTTTTTATACAATTGTTCTACAATATTTAGACAATAGTCCAACAATATTCAGACAACAACCGAACACTTTTTATACAATTGTTCTACAATATTTAGGCAATAGTCCAACAATATTCAGACAACAGTCGAACACTTTTTATACAATTGTTCTACAATATTTAGACAATAGTCCAACAATATTCAGACAACAGTCGAACACTTTTTATACAATTGTTCTACAATATTTAGACAATAGTCCATCAATATTCAGACAACAGTCGAACACTTTTTTATACAATTTTTCTACAATATTTAGGCAATAGTCCAACAATATTCAGACAACAGTCGAACACTTTTTATACAATTGTTCTACAATATTTAGACAATAGTCCAACAATATTCAGACAACAGTCGAACACTTTTTATACAATTGTTCTACAATATTTAGACAATAGTCCAACAATATTCAGACAACAGTCGAACACTTTTTATACAATTGTTCTACAATATTTAGACAATAGTCCAACACTATTCAGACAACAGTCTAACACTTTTTATACAATTGTTCTACAATATTTAGACAATAGTCCAACAATATTCAGACAACAGTCTTAACACTTTTTATACAATTGTTCTACAATATTAAGACAATAGTCCAACAATATTCAGACAACAGTCGAACAATATTCATAATTTTTTTCAACAATATTTAGACAATATATATGCCATCAATATTCAGACAACGGTCTAACAATATTCAGACAGTAGTTCAACAATACTTAGACAAAAGACATACGTCAGTCACATACGGATTACAGTAACAAAACAATAGTCAGACGATAACAGGACGCTAACCGGAAATTAGCCAGCCAAACAAGCGATAGCAAGACATTTACAAAATTTGCCTACCAGCACATTTATTTGGAGGGGCTTTGTCCACTATGTCAATTTTAGATGGGAGGACTTTTGTCCGTTTCCACATTTCAAGACACTAGCTACAATGTATACAACAGAAAGAAGACAATACATCTAGTTAGCCACTGTCAGTATCAAAATTTTAATATTATCTGCGTTCTTCATTTAAGTACATGTATTTTGAATGGGAAACAGATTAGGAGAGGGAACCAGATAAATACACGGAAAGTGTCGAAATTTGCCGAATATACACGATTTTATAAATGATGCATGTATAATAACTTTGAGCCTTTAAATTTCATAATCATGCATGATTTGGACAAAGTTTTGGTCTAAGGCGCCATTTAATTTGAGACCAATACTCGTAGTCGTAAACCCTAGCGGATCAGTCACGTGGTAAAATTTTCGCTACATGTCAATTTACTGCGAGTAGGATATATATACCCTTATCTCCCAACCCCTCTTCTCGGATTCATTTTTTCCGCTATTACCGCATTTTAACTATTATAAAATGTATAAGTGTAGCTATTTTACAATCCCGCAAAGTTAGATTGGTGCGAAAAAAGTCATTGTTACAAATGGATATTTTCAGCTGCTTCAAAACGACCACAGTTATTCAATCTAAATAGCCTTTTGACCTTTGGTAACTTCTGAAATCAATGGAGTTTTTTTTACAAATATACATGTATATTACAATTGCGTTCTTTTTTTAAGATGATTCAAGTATTTACTTTTTTTTCAATTACATTTATATATAGATAAGGTAAATGAGAATTTTGATAGAATAAACTGTTATCGTTTTGATTTCACAATGAGCTTTAATCACGTTCAGCAGTTCTACATTACATGAAAATATCGATGTTATGTACGGAACCACCAGTTTTTTTATACAGCAACTATCGGCATGGAATCTGGGATCTTCAATACATTACCCAATATTTCAAAATTCAATTGATATATTGTTGTTATGCGAGTCTAACCAAACAACTAAATAAAATAAAATAAATGATAAAAAAATAAACTCAACTCACCCACTGCTTTCATATATGCGTCAAAGTTTTCAGTCTCCACTAACTGCCATGTCCCTGTTGCAAAATCAGCCATCCTGTTGTTTTGTGTGTGTTTTTGTTTTGTTTTAATTTTAATTTCTATGTGTAATTTCAGAAGTGAAATAAAAGTTTACAAAAGTCCACGTGGTCGTTCTCTCTCTATATCAAGATCAACGTGCTTATCTGTGAACCACTAGACAGTTATAAACGTTCATTTGACATACAACAGAGTAAAATGTAATCTCGAAAACTGAAAGATATAAATTAGCTGTTCTCCATAACTTTAAACAAGTTTAACATATACTTAATCGTACTTTAGTTTCGATTATCTTCAGTCTGTTGCGGTATTGGTATTTACTTGTTTTGGTAAATCGAACGCAGTACTCATAATTATGAGTATTGAATAATAATCAAGCGTTCTGTCCGTTTTTTAATGGTCGCGTGCAATAAAAAGAATCTGATTGTGCGAGTTTAATGGTCAATATGACAAATCAAACGTCAATATATAATTACACATTGACAACTTTTGTATTTGATGTCTATTTTTGATATCAATTAACATTACCGGAGTCCTGCACATATTATTGAACGGTCCGAGGTATGTGATGGTTTCTTGCAACAAACAAACGAATTAATATGCAATATAACTTATGATTTAAACCGTCGTAAACATATTAGCATCCTTCAATGGACTGTATTTTATTAAATGAAAATGCACTTGGAAATTATTTTTTTCAGACTTATTTCACAAACATTTCTTGTTCTCAGAATATTTTGGAAAACATCAACTTTTGGGAAATTTTTAGGCGCATGTCTCAGACTTGGTAATTTACAGTGTCCCCCATATCAATTATCACTTCTAACTATGAAACAATGTTATGCACATATATAGACTTAAACGGATTACGTATCTTACATAAATAACCAACTTTGTCTCGACATTTCCGATTGGGAATATCGTCAGCCATTTGGGAATAATTTACTCTTTCAATTTGGAATATGACCAATAAAAGTTTTGCTATTCAGTCAGCAAAATAAAAAAATAATGTTTTTGGACCCACTGTATAATTGCATACACTGACTAAAACATTCAAATGTCAAAGCATTTTATGAGGGTGTGTTTTTATCACATATCGATAATAAGCGTAGAAATTTATCATTTTATTCATGTATAATGTTGTAAGCATGAAAAGCGATCCAAAATAGTATATTAGTAATGAAAATATTACAATTAATTGCTGGCATATATCATTTTGTTGTTAAATAAAAGTGTCAAAAATTGAATGACTAAGCGTCATTTTTTGTGTGTTTACTCACTACTGTCACTATGGAACACAAATAAGTTTCAAATCCGGCTTGTTTTTATTAAAGCAGCATGCCTCAAGATTCATGCTAATTTTCATAGTATTAAAAAGTAAAATGTTTTCGAGTTAACAATGATATTAGTGAACATATTGCAAACGGCACTTACAATTCAGGTAAATTACCAAATTGATGTCAAAATATGCAAAAAAGAAAAGCCCTTATTACGTTAGTAAATTTCGTGACTCTTGAAATTTTCCGGTTTTTTTTTTAAATCTAAGTGCATTTTCTCAAGTTTTGATTTTCTTCAAATATTTTTGACTCATCTTGACATTTCGTGCCGATTACCAATAATTCTCTACCGACGTATGACGAAAACTCCAGAAATTTCCAATCACATTATTAAGCATGATAATAAAGATAGGATGGTAATAATTGATTTAAGATTTGATGATGACAAAGGTAAAATATATATGGGTAGAACGGAGCTCAGAGAAAGGAATAAGGATAATAGATGACCTTACAAGAAAACAACCTGAAAGGATGAAGACTTGTAAAGAAGAAGGTAAAATCGGATATTACTATAAATGGCGATTTATGATTAGACCTGCTCGGAAAATGGGAAATGATAACAATAATCAACGAACGGAAAGTGTTAATAGTGAAAAGTTTGAGAAAAGTAATAATAGTGAAGACTATGGAGCAAGCATGCAAAGAAAGCAAATGGATTGGGAATCGCAAGTTGGAGCTGATGAGGAAAATACAGATTTATACATGGTTATAAACGATAAATGTGATAATTCATTTGCAGGAATCAAACGTGTAAACAAAAATGCTTCTGGCAATGATAATGGTGTTTTATAGGGGTGTGGCCAAAGCACATTACAACTTTCAGAACTTAAGTGTGTTTGCTGGAATATTGAAGGATTGAACAATAAGATATTTGATAAAGATTTGATTGATTATCTTAAATCTTTTTATATTATATGTTTTGTAGAAACTTGGTTGTTAGAAA